AAGAGGAGGAAGAGGAAGAGGAGGAAAAGAGGAAGAGAGGAGGAGAAAACATCTGGAAAGTTCTTTAAAAACCTAGAATCTCCCACGGATTTCTTTCCAGGCCCCGATCTCCTCCTGAAACTACGACAAACTGTAAAAAATAAAATAAAAAAAAAAAGTGTCACTGTGCTGGAGATTAAAGCCGCACTGTGTAACTTTTCTCGGTTGAGGGTCCGTCTCCTGCTCGTTTCCATGGATACGTCACTGCTCTGTGTCCTGGAATGTTCCACCGTGTGACTTTAAATGGCTCGACTCTCCACAGATCTGACCCGGAACTGCGTCTGGTTTGGTCTCCATGAAGATAAAAAAAAAGTTTAATGCCGGAAAAGTTACACAATGCAGATTTAAAGTGTTAAAGTGCTGTAGATTAAAGTGCTTCTGTGCTGTAGATTAAAGTGCTTCTGTAGATTAAAGTGTTTCTGTAGATTAAAGTGTTCTGTAGATTAAAGTGCTTCTGTAGATTAAAAGTGCTTCTGTAGATTAAAAGTGTTTCTGTAGATTAAAGTGCTTTCTGTAGATTAAAGTGCTTCTGTAGATTAAAGTGTGTTCTGTAGATTAAAGTGTTTCTGTAGATTATTTAAAGTGCTTCTGTAGATTAAAGTGCTTCTGTAGATTAAAGTGCTTCTGTAGATTAAAGTGTTTCTGTAGATTAAAGTGCTGTAGATTAAAGTGCTTCTGTAGATTAAAGTGTTTCTGTAGATTAAAGTGTTTCTGTAGATTAAAGTGCTTCTGTAGATTAAAGTGTTTCTGTAGATTAAAGTGCTTCTGTAGATTAAAGTGCTTCTGTAGATTAAAGTGTTTCTGTAGATTAAAGTGTTCTGTAGATTAAAGTGTTTCTGTAGATTAAAGTGCTTCTGTAGATTAAAGTGTTTCTGTAGATTAAAGTGCTTCTGTAGATTAAAGTGCTTCTGTAGATTAAAGTGTTCTGTAGATTAAAGTGTTTCTGTAGATTAAAGTGTTTCTGTAGATTAAAGTGCTTCTGTAGATTAAAGTGTTTCTGTAGATTAAAGTGTTTCTGTAGATTAAAGTGCTTCTGTAGATTAAAGTGTTTCTGTAGATTAAAGTGCTTCTGTAGATTAAAGTGTTTCTGTAGATTAAAGTGTTTCTGTAGATTAAAGTGCTTCTGTAGATTAAAGTGTTTCTGTAGATTAAAGTGTTTCTGTAGATTAAAGTGTTTCTGTAGATTAAAGTGCTTCTGTAGATTAAAGTGTTTCTGTAGATTAAAGTGTCTGTAGATTAAAGTGCTTCTGTAGATTAAAGTGTTTCTGTAGATTAAAGTGCTTCTGTAGATTAAAGTGCTTCTGTAGATTAAAGTGCTGTAGATTAAAGTGCTTCTGTAGATTAAAGTGCTTCTGTAGATTAAAGTGTTTCTGTAGATTAAAGTGCTTCTGTAGATTAAAGTGTTTCTGTAGATTAAAGTGTTTCTGTAGATTAAAGTGCTTCTGTAGATTAAAGTGCTTCTGTAAGTGTTTCTAGATTAAAGTGTTTCTGTAGATTAAAGTGTTTCTGTAGATTAAAGTGTTTCTGTAGATTAAAAGTAAAGTGCTTCTGTAGATTAAAGTGCTTCTGTAGATTAAAGTGCTGTAGATTAAAGTGCTTCTGTAGATTAAAGTGCTTCTGTAGATTAAAGTGTTTCTGTAGATTAAAGTGTTTCTGTAGATTAAAGTGCTTCTGTAGATTAAAGTGCTTCTGTAGATTAAAGTGCTTCTGTAGATTAAAGTGTTTCTGTAGATTAAAGTGCTTCTGTAGATTAAAGTGCTTCTGTAGATTAAAGTGTTTCTGTAGATTAAAGTGTTTCTGTAGATTAAAGTGTTTCTGTAGATTAAAGTGCTTCTGTAGATTAAAGTGCTTCTGTAGATTAAAGTGCTTCTGTGCTGTAGATCGGGTATTGGAGTGACTCGGACAAACTGGTGCTGATCCAGGACTCGCCTCTTTTGCCCAACGACACGTCGGGAATCGAAAACCGCACCGTGGTGGTCACGACTATTATGGTAAGAAACGCACAAACACACACACACACACACACGTATACACACACACACATACACACACACACACACACACACACAACACACACACACACACACACAACACACACACTCTCTGCTCATTTCACTAAAACACGTCACTTTATTTGTTCTCAGTGTTTTATTGTTTTTGGTTGAAGTTTATAAAGTGATTGTGTAACTGTTACCGAGCAACCGTCACGTAAACAAAACCCAAAACGACTTTAAAACTGCACAAAAATCACGATTAAACTTAGAAAAACTACGACTTCCTGTGTTTTGTACAAACTGTGAAACATTCAGATTTTCATTTCACATTTAAAAACTCACCTGTTCAAACTGTCGCTCCCTCCATGATTCTCCTGTTTTCTACAGTCACTTTTTTATTTGTTTGTAAAACGTCCAAAAAAAGTGCTACATAAGTCCGATGTATTATTATATTTATTACTATTATTGTTAAATAATCGTCACGACTTTTGCGTTTTCTGACCTCTGCCCCCGAGAGCCGTTCACATCGATAATGTGTAGAGCTCAGTTTAGAGTCACACAGTTGCCACGTTTACACGAGATCTTTAATTCTGAATAAAAATAAATTCCGTTTTTAAAAAGTCCATGTAAACACTTAATTCCGAATGAAAATGATTCAGAATTCGTCTTAATTCTGAAGTAAGTGTTTGTTTTCTTCTGATTTTAAATCTGAGTGAATTAGTTTCCTGGATCCTGTTTGTGGTTTGTTCTTGTTAAAATGCTGCTGGTGCTCGAGCCAGATTAGCATGCTAGTGTACACTTCCTGATCATCGACAGCTCACACTTTAAACAACAGACCTGTTCACACAAACGTCTTCACACTGTCACACTGTCCTCTGGACGGGGTTTAGTCCCGTCGCCTGCGCACATGAGGAGCTCGATTCCATTTTAGGTTTAGTTTCGATTCGTGTCAGTTTTTCGATATTTTTGGCGACGCTTTGGCACTGAGTGATGTCACAGAGTGATGTCACTGAGTGATGTCACAGAGTGATGTCACAGAGTGATGTCACTGAGTGATGTCACAGAGTGATGTCACTGAGTGATGTCACAGAGTGATGTCACTGAGTGATGTCACAGAGTGATGTCACTGAGTGATGTCACTGAGTGATGTCACAGAGTGATGTCACAGAGTGATGTCACAGAGTGATGTCACTGAGTGATGTCACAGAGTGATGTCACAGAGTGATGTCACTGAGTGATGTCACAGTGAGTGATGTCACAGAGTGATGTCACTGAGTGATGTCACTGAGTGATGTCACAGAGTGATGTCACAGAGTGATGTCACTGAGTGATGTCACAGAGTGATGTCACTGAGTGATGTCACTGAGTGATGTCACAGAGTGATGTCACTGAGTGACACTGAGTGACGTCACAGAGTGATGTCACAGAGTGATGTCACTGAGTGTGACGGCGTGAGCTGCTGCAGGAGGCTCAGCACGATCCTCCTCTTTTCAGCCCCCGAACACCAACCCACTTTTAAGAAACTGAGGAGGACGACGAGGGACACGAGGGACACGAGGACACGACGGACACGAGGGGACACGACGAGGGACACGAGGGACACGACGACAGGGACACGAGGGACACGAGGGGACAGAGCCACGAGGACACGAGGGACACGAGGGGACGGAGCCGGAGCCGTGAGGGACACGAGGACAGGAGGGACATGAGGGACACGAGGACACGAGGGGACAGAACCATGAGGACACGAGGGGACAGAGACGGAGCCACTAAGGACACGAGGACACAAGAGACATGAGGGACACGAGGGACAGAGACGGAGTCACGAAACTCTGGTCCCGGTCTAGTCCTAATCTCAGTTTAGGTCTAGTCCCCTTCTGGTCCTGGTCCTGGTCCCGGTCTGGTCCCGGTCCTGGTCCTGGTCCCGGTCTGGTCCTGGTCCTGGTCCCGGTCTGGTCTGGTCTGGTCTTGGTCTGGTCTGGTCTGGTCCTGGTCCTGGTCCTGGTCCTGGTCTGGTCTGGTCTGGTCCTGGTCTGGTCTGGTCTGGTCTGGTCCTGGTCCTGGTCTGGTCCTGGTCTGGTCTGGTCTGGTCCTGGTCCTGGTCCCTGGTCCTGGTCCTGGTCCCTGGTCTGGTCCTGGTCTGGTCCTGGTCCTGGTCCCCCTGGTCTGGTCCTGGTCCTGGTCTGGTCTGGTCTGGTCCTGGTCTGGTCTGGTCCTGGTCTGGTCCTGGTCCTGGTCCTGGTCTGGTCTGGTCCTGGTCTGGTCCTGGTCTGGTCTGGTCTGGTCCCTGGTCTGGTCTGGTCTGGTCCTGGTCTGGTCTGGTCTGGTCTGGTCCTGGTCTGGTCCTGGTCCTGGTCTGGTCTGGTCTGGTCTGGTCGGTCTGGTCTGGTCTGGTCCTGGTCCTGGTCCTGGTCCTGGTCCTGGTCCTGGTCCTGGTCCTGGTCTGGTCTGGTCTGGTCCTGGTCTGGTCTGGTCTGGTCCCTGGTCCTGGTCTGGTCTGGTCCTGGTCCTGGTCCTGGTCCTGGTCCTGGTCTGGTCTGGTCCTGGTCTGGTCCTGGTCTGGTCTGGTCTGGTCCTGGTCTGGTCCTGGTCCTGGTCCTGGTCCTGGTCCTGGTCTGGTCCCTGGTCCTGGTCCTGGTCCTGGTGGTCTGGTCGGTCTGGTCTGGTCTGGTCCTGGTCCTGGTCCTGGTCCTGGTCCTGGTCTGGTCCTGGTCCTGGTCCTGGTCCTGGTCTGGTCCTGGTCCTGGTCCTGGTCCTGGTCCTGGTCCTGGTCCTGGTCTGGTCCTGGTCTGGTCTGGTCCTGGTCTGGTCCTGGTCTGGTCTGGTCCTGGTCCTGATCTGGTCTGGTCCTGGTCCTGGTCTGGTCCTGGTCTGGTCCTCTGGTCTGGTCCTGGTCTGGTCCTGGTCTGGTCCTGGTCTGGTCTGGTCTGGTCTGGTCGGTCTGGTCTGGTCCTGGTCTCTGGTCCTGGTCTGGTCCTTGGTCTGGTCCTGGTCTGGTCTGGTCTGGTCTGGTCCTGGTCTGGTCTGGTCTGGTCTGGTCCTGGTCCTGGTCCTGGTCCTGGTCCTGGTCCTGGTCTGGTCCTGGTCCTGGTCTGGTCCCTGGTCTGGTCTGGTCCTGGTCTGGTCCTGGTCCTGGTCCTGGTCCTGGTCCTGGTCCTGGTCCTGGTCCTGGTCCTGGTCGGTCTGGTCTGGTCTGGTCTGGTCTGGTCCTGGTCCTGGTCCTGGTCCTGGTCTGGTCTGGTCTGGTCCTGGTCTGGTCCTGGTCCTGGTCCTGGTCCTGGTCTGGTCCTGGTCCTGGTCTGGTCTGGTCCTGGTCCTGGTCCTGGTCCTGGTCTGGTCCTGTCTGGTCCTGGTCCTGGTCCTGGTCCTGGTCCTGGTCTGGTCCTGGTCCTGGTCCTGGTCCTGGTCCTGGTCTGGTCTGGTCTGGTCCTGGTCCTGGTCCTGGTCTGGTCCTGGTCTGGTCCTGGTCTGGTCCTGGTCTGGTCCTGGTCTGGTCCTGGTCCTGGTCCTGGTCATTTGAAAACCCGTCGGAGCCGTTTGAGTTTGAGTTTGAGTTTGAGTTTGTCGTGTTTGTAAAAAGACGAGACGCTGGAGTTTGTTTTGTTACACGTTTGGAGAAAAAGATCTCGTTTTGTGTTTTTATGTCGGTTCAGTTCACGAGATGAAGATTTACGCCTTCGTCTTTTCAAAACGTGACAAAATAACGACGCGAACACGAACGGCGCCCGAGGAAAACCACAGTCATGTTTTTCAGACGCGTTTGGCTCCGATTTTCCTCCTTTTGAAACCAGGACTTTGTTTGGTGAGAAAATACGAAACATCACAGACGCCGAAGACGCAGTTTAACAAAGAAAAAGAAGAAAAAAAAGAGGGAAATGCGAGAAAAAGAGTTTTAAAGGGACTGTGTGTGTGTCACCTGAATCTGTGTCGTTCGTTCGTTTGTTTTTCAAAATAAAACCAAAAAAAAAAATAAAATTAAAAAATAAAATATTTGTCTCCAAAACCAAAAAAAAAAAAAAAAGATAATAATTTGTTTTTGTTTTTTCTTTTTCAGTTTTCGATTTTGTGTTTAAATGAAAAATGGAAAAAAACTGGATAACGGACCAAACCAGGACTAAACCAGGACCAAACCAGGACTAAACCAGGACTAAACCAGTACTAAACCAGGACTAAACCAGAACTAAACCAGGACTAAACCAGGACTAAACCAGGAATAAACCCGGTCTAAACCAGGTCTAAACCAGGACTAAACCCGGTCTAAACCAGAACTAAACCAGGACTAAACCAGGACTAAACCAGTACTAAACCAGGACTAACCCAGTACTAAACCAGGACTAAACCAGGACTAAACCAGGTCTAAACCAGGACTAACCCAGTACTAAACCAGGTCTAAACCAGGACTAAACCAGGTCCTAACCAGGACTAAACCAGGACTAAACCAGGTCTAAACCAGGACTAAACCAGGTCTAACCAGGACTAAACCAGGTCTAAACCAGGACTAACCAGACTAAACCAGGTCTAAACCAGGACTAAACCAGGTCTAAACCAGGACTAAACCAGTACTAAACCAGAACTAAACCAGGTCCTAACCAGGACTAAACCAGGACTAAACCAGGTCTAAACCAGGACTAAACCAGGTCTAAACCAGGACTAAACCAGGTCTAAACCAGGACTAACCCAGTACTAAACCAGGTCTAAACCAGGACTAAACCAGGTCTAAACCAGGACTAACCCAGTACTAAACCAGAACTAAACCAGGTCCTAACCAGGACTAAACCAGGACTAAACCAGGTCTAAGGTCTCAGTCCTAGTTTGGTCCCCATCTCAGTCCCGGTCTCAGTCCTAAACCAGGACTAAACCAGGACTGAGTCTGGGGACGGGCCCAGAGATGCCCTCAGAGACTGTCGGGTGATCAGGACTAAGATCGGGACCAGACCAGGACTGAGACAGGTTCAGTTCTGGTTTAGTCCTGGTTTAGTCTGTTATCCATTTTTTTTTTTTTGTTTTTTTTTTCCATTTTTCATTTAAACACAAAATCGAAAACTGAAAAAACGAATCATTATCTATTTTTTTCATTTTGGTTTTGGAGACAATTTTTATTATTTTTTTTCTGTTTTTTTTTTTAGTTTTGTTTTATTTTGAAAAACAAATGAACAAATAACACACAGACTAATCAGCCTCTCACTGTTTTTAAAGAGCCACTAAACACTAAAAACACTTTTTTTTTTCCTCCTGATTCTCTGTGTCTAAAATTGAAGTGTGTCTTTGTCTCTGGTTTTATTTTGGTGATTTTCGTGTATAATATTTGTTAAAAATGTGAATTTTGGGTCAAAGTCGTGTTTGTATCGGCGTAAAATGTTCATTAAAATTAAAGTTTCATGGAGCATTTTTAAAAATTCAAACTGTTAAATTCTGACTCTTCACATCTGAGGAGTTTGGGGTTTTGTTTATGTGACGGTTGCTACGTAACGACGAACACAGTGTGTGTCATGTCAGTCGTAGGGAGTATTATCTGTGACACTGTACAGTTGTAGGGAGTATTTTCTGTTATATAAGGGTGAATTGTATAGTCGTAGGGAGTATTATCTGTTATATAAGGGTAAGTTGTTGTTTTCTTACAGTCGTAGGGAGTATTATCTGTTATATAAGAGTGAATTGTTCAGTTGTAAGGAGTATTGTCTGTTACATAAAGGTGAACTGTACAGTTGTAGGGAGTATTATCTGTGGTATGGTGCAGTCGTAGGGAGTATTATCTGTGGTGTGCACAGTCGTAGGGAGTATTATCTGTGGTGTGCGCAGTCGTGTAGTCGTAGGGGAGTATTATCTGTGGTGTGGTACAGTCGTAGGGAGTATTATCTGTGTGGTGTGTACAGTCGTAGGGAGTATTATCTGTGTTGTGGTGTTGTGGTAGTTGTAGGGAGTATTATCTGTGTTGTGGTACAGTTGTAGGGAGTATTATCTGTGTTGTGTACAGTTGTAGGGAGTATTATCTGTGGTGTGCACAGTCGTAGGGAGTATTATCTGTGGTGTGCACAGTCGTAGGGAGTATTATCTGTGTTGTGGTACAGTTGTAGGGAGTATTATCTGTGGTGTGCACAGTCGTAGGGAGTATTATCTGTGGTGTGGTACAGTCGTAGGGAGTATTATCTGTGGTGTGTACAGTTGTAGGGAGTATTATCTGTGGTGTGCACAGTCGTAGGGAGTATTATCTGTGGTGTACAGTCGTAGGGAGTATTATCTGTGTTGTGGTACAGTTGTAGGGAGTATTATCTGTGGTGTGTACAGTTGTAGGGAGTATTATCTGTGGTGTGGTACAGTTGTAGGGAGTATTATCTGTGGTGTGTACAGTTGTAGGGATATTATCTTGTGTCAGTGTAGGGAGTATATCTGTGTGTGTACAGTTGTAGGGAGTATTATCTGTGGTGTGTACAGTCGTAGGGAGTATTATTGTGGTGTTGTACAGTTGTAGGGAGTATTATCTGTGGTGGTGTACAGTTGTAGGGAGTATTATCTGTGAGTTGTTGTACAGTTGTAGGGAGTATTATCTGTGGTGTGTTGTACAGTTGTAGGGAGTATTATCTGTGGTGTTGTACAGTCGTAGGGAGTATTATCTGTGGGTGTGGTACAGTTGTAGGGAGTATTATCTGTGGTGTTGTACAGTTGTAGGGAGTATTATCTGTGGTGTTGTACAGTGTAGGGAGTATATCTGTGAGTGTGTACAGTTGTAGGGAGTATTATCTGTGAGTTGTTGTACAGTTGTAGGGAGTATTAGTGTTGTGTACAGTTTGTAGGGAGTATTATCTGTGTTGTGTACAGTGTAGGGAGTATTTATCTGTGGTGTTGTACAGTTGTAGGGAGTATTATCTGTGAGTGTTGTACAGTTGTAGGGAGTATTATCTGTTGAGTGTTGTACAGTTGTAGGGAGTATTATCTGTGGTGTGTTGTACAGTTGTAGGAGTATTATTGTGTGTGTACAGTTGTAGGGAGTATTATCTGTGAGTTGTTGTACAGTTGTAGGGAGTATTATCTGTGAGTTGTTGTACAGTTGTAGGGAGTATTATACATGTGAGTTGTTGTACAGTTGTAGGGAGTATTATCTGTGTGAGTTGTTGTACAGTTGTAGGGAGTATTATCTGTGGTGTTGTACAGTTGTAGGGAGTATTATCTGTTACATAAGGGTGAGTTGTTGTACAGTTGTAGGGAGTATTATCTGTGTTTTTAAACAGTTGTAGGGAGTATTATCTGTGGTTGTTGTACAGTTGTAGGGAGTATTATCTGTGTTGTGGTACAGTTGTAGGGAGTATTATCTGTGTTGTTGTTGTACAGTTGTAGGGAGTATTATCTGTGTTGTTTACAGTTGTAGGGAGTATTATCTGTGTTGTGGTACAGTTGTAGGGAGTATTATCTGTGAGTGTTGTACAGTTGTAGGGAGTATTATCTGTGGTGTGTACAGTCGTAGGGAGTATTATCTGTGGTGTGTACAGTTGTAGGGAGTATTATCTGTGTTGTGGTACAGTTGTAGGGAGTATTATCTGTGTTGTGGTACAGTTGTAGGGAGTATTATCTGTGGTGTGTACAGTCGTAGGGAGTATTATGTGTGGTGTGTACAGTTGTAGGGAGTATTATCTGTGTTGTGGTACAGTCGTAGGGAGTATTATCTGTGGTGTGTACAGTCGTAGGGAGTATTATCTGTGGTGTGCGCAGTTGTAGGGAGTATTATCTGTGTTGTGTACAGTCGTAGGGAGTATTATCTGTGTTGTGGTACAGTTGTAGGGAGTATTATCTGTGGTGTGTACAGTCGTAGGGAGTATTATCTGTGTTGTGGTACAGTCGTAGGGAGTATTATCTGTGTTGTGGTACAGTTGTAGGGAGTATTATCTGTGTTGTGGTACAGTCGTAGGGAGTATTATCTGTGGTGTGTACAGTTGTAGGGAGTATTATCTGTGTTGTGGTACAGTTGTAGGGGTATTATCTGTGTTGTGGTACAGTTGTAGGGAGTATTATCTGTGTTGTGGTACAGTCGTAGGGAGTATTATCTGTGGTGTGTACAGTCGTAGGGAGTATTATCTGTGGTGTGAACAGTCGTAGGGAGTATTATCTGTGGTGTGTACAGTTGTAGGGAGTATTATCTGTGTTGTGGTACAGTTGTAGGGAGTATTATCTGTGTTGTGGTACAGTTGTAGGGAGTATTATCTGTGTTGTGGTACAGTCGTAGGGAGTATTATCTGTGTTGTGTACAGTTGTAGGGAGTATTATCTGTGGTGTGTACAGTTGTAGGGAGTATTATCTGTGGTGTGCGCAGTTGTAGGGAGTATTATCTGTGACAGTTGTAGGGAGTGTGCAGTGTAGGGAGTATTATCTGTGGTGTGTACAGTGTAGGGAGTATTATCTGTGTTGTGTACAGTGTAGGGAGTATTATCTGTGTGTACAGTGTAGGGAGTATTATCTGTGTTTGTGTACAGTTGTAGGGAGTATTATCTGTTACATGGTGAGTTGTACAGTTGTAGGGAGTATTATCTGTGTGAGTTGTTGTACAGTTGTAGGGAGTATTATCTGTTACATAAGGGTGAGTTGTTGTACAGTTGTAGGGAGTATTATCTGTGTTGTGGTACAGTTGTAGGAGTATTATCTGTGTTGTTGTACAGTTGTTAGGGAGTATTATCTGTGTTGTACAGTGAGTATTATCTGTGAGTGTGTACAGTTGTAGGGAGTATTATCTGTGTTGTGTTGTACAGTTGTAGGGAGTATTATCTGTGTGTGTTGTTGTACAGTTGTAGGGAGTATTATCTGTTACATAAGGGTGAGTTGTTGTACAGTTGTAGGGAGTATTATCTGTGAGTTGTTGGTACAGTTGTAGGGAGTATTATCTGTGTGAGTTGTTGTACAGTTGTAGGGAGTATTATCTGTGTTGTGTTGTACAGTTGTAGGGAGTATTATCTGTTACATGGTGAGTTGTTGTACAGTTGTAGGGAGTATTATCTGTGTTGTGTACAGTTGTAGGGAGTAATTATCTGTGGTGTTGTACAGTTGTAGGGAGTATTATCTGTGGTTGTTGGTACAGTTGTAGGGAGTATTATCTGTGTGTACAGTGTAAGGGAGTATTACTGTGTTGTGTACAGTTGTAGGGAGTATTATCTGTGGTGAGTTGTGTACAGTTGTAGGGAGTATTATCTGTGGTGTGGTACAGTTGTAGGGAGTATTATCTGTGTTGTGGTACAGTTGTAGGGAGTATTATCTGTGTTGTGGTACAGTTGTAGGGAGTATTATCTGTGTTGTGGTACAGTCGTAGGGAGTATTATCTGTGGTGTGCGCAGTCGTAGGGAGTATTATCTGTGTTGTGGTACAGTTGTAGGGAGTATTATCTGTGGTGTGCGCAGGAGGGCCCGTACGTCATGATGAAGAAGAACCATGAGATGTACGAGGGGAACGAGCAGTATGAGGGATACTGCGTGGACCTCGCCTCCGAAATCGCCAAACACATCGGCATCAAGTACAAAATCTCCATCGTCCCCGACGGGAAATACGGAGCCCGAGACCCCGAGACCAAGATCTGGAACGGCATGGTCGGGGAGCTGGTGTACGGGGTCGGTACCGCGCACACACTGTACACACCATACACGCTATACACACTATACACACACACTATACACACACACTATACACACACACTATACACACTATACACACACTATACACACACTATACACACTATACACACTATATCACACACACATACACACACACTATACACACTATACACACACACACTATACACACTATACACACTATACACACTATACACACTATACACACACACTATACACACACTATACACAAACACACAAAAACACACACACACTATACACACACTATACACACACACTATACACACACTATACACACTATACACGCTATACACACTATACACACTATACACACATACACACACACTATACACACTATACACACACACTATACACACTATACACACTATACACACTATACACACACACACTATACACACTATACACACTATACACACTATACACACACACTATACACACTATACACACTATACACACTATACACACACACTATACACACACACTATACACACTATACACTATACACACGCACTATACACACACACACTATACACACTATATACACACTATACACACTATACACACTATACATACACACACACTATACACACTATACACACTATACACACACACACTATACACACACACTATACACACACACTATACACACTATACACACTATACACACTATACACACTATACACACTCTACACACTATACACATACACACGCACTATACACACACACTATACACACTATACACACTATACACACTATACACTATACACACTATACACACTATACACACTATACACACACACACTATACACACATACTATACACACTATACACACACACTATACACACACTATACACACACTATACACACACACTATACACACACACACTATACACACATACTATACACACACACACTATACACACATACTATACACACACACTATACACACACACACACAATATATACACACACTATATACACACTATACACACACTATACACACATACACTATACACATATACGCTATACACACACACTATACACACACACTCTATACACACTATATACACACACACTATACACACACTATATACATACTATACACACACACTATATACACACACTATATACACACACACTATATACACACACACTATACACACACACTATATACACACACACTATGCACACACACTATATACACACACACTATATACACTATATACACACTATACACACTATACACACACACTATATACACACACTATACACACACACACTATACACACAGAGACACACACACTATACACACTATACACACACTATATACACACACATACACACACACTATACACACACTATACACACACTATATACACACACTATACACACTATATACACACACATACACACACACTATACACACACATACACACATACACACACACACACACACACACACGAGGTTACTCAAATAAAAGGATCACATCAAACTCCTCAACAGGACCATGAACTGATCACAGACTCCTTTCTGTTTTTGTCTTGAGTTTTTGGACGAGCTTAAGAGTTTTTTTGTTGACAGTCTGCGTTAAAATGTGCACTGGGTCTCCATGGTAACCGCCGAACGTTCCACCATTAGAGACACATGTAGAGAACACCACAGGCGTGAGGTCACTGGAAAATGATTCGTAAACAGAAACAGAATTTTGTGTTTTAGTTTATAATTTTTGATTTTTTTTTTTTTTTTATCTGTTTGATTGTGTTATTTTTTAATTAATTTTTTTTTTTCAGAATTTTCTAAATTTTTTTTGCTTCTTGCTTCTAATTGTAGTATTGTTTATGTGATTTCTGGAGCAAGTTTCCCTGCTTAAAATGTTTTATTTTTACAGTTTTACAGGCCCTAAATCACACAATATTTCTCCCTAATGTCACAAATTTGTATTCTTTATTTATTTATAATTTTTTTTTTTTTTTGCAATTTATTTATTTTTTATTTTATTTTTTGCATTTCTTCTAACTTTAGTAATGTCTCGCTCATTTCTACAGCAGGTTTCCCTGTTTAAAATGTTTTTTTTTTACAGTTTTTCAGTCCCTAAAGCAATTTTGTCACAAATTTTTTTTTTTGCTTTTTATTTTATTATTATTATTATTATTTATTATGTATTTATTATTTTATTTTATTATGTTTTTTTTGCTGTCGTTGCTTTTTTAAAAATTAATAATAATTATTATTATTATTATTATTATTATTTTGCTTTTATTTTTAGCTTTTTAAAAATGTATTTATTATTTTATTATTTATTTACTTATTGGTCTTATTTTTTTGCTTTTCTTCTGACCTCTGTGTTTAAATACTGTGTGTTTTTTGGTGTGTAAATCGTGCGCAGCTGCGTTCGTGTTCGTGTTCGTGTTCACGTTGGTCTTGTTGTTCTTGTTCTTGTCGGTGAATGTGAATCGTCATCAAAAGTCCAGGTTTATAAACGGGTCACAAGAATCTGCTGTGTCCCTCTGAAACACGTCACATGTTCTGAGCTGCTGCCGCTGCACAAAAGAGCAGGAGGAGGCTGTTTTAAACCCCTAACTACTGCGGAACTTTTCAGCTGGGGGTCTGTCACCTGCTTGTTTCTATGGAGACGTCCTTCCTCTGCCTGGAATGTTCCACAGAGTGACTTTAAACAGCTCGACTTTACAAATCTTGCATTTTTTATGGCTCAAAAATCCCTAGAAAAACAGACATTGTGACTGTGAGCGTCGCCGCTCCACAGATCTGACCTGGAACTGCGTCTGGTTTGGTCTCTGTGAAGATAGAAAGGTTTAATGTCACACTGTGGAACATCTCCGTGGAGAAAAGTGTTTGACGAACCCTTCCCCAGAAAAGTGACACAAACTTTAAAGAATCTGTGACAGGTTCAAACACTCATTTAGACTAAAGCTCAGCTCCATCCATCCTCCATGTTCTTCTTCTTCTCTGGGGTCGGGTCTCGGGGGCATCAGTCTGAGCAGAGACTCCCAGACTTCCCTCACCCCAGACACTTCCTGCAGCTCCTCCAGTGGGACCTGAGGTGTTCCCAGTCCAGTCCAGAGACGTCGTCCCTCCAGTGTGTCCTGGGTCTCCTCCTCCTCCCTGTGGGACATGAACACCTCCTGAGGGACACGTCCAGGAGACATCAGAACAGACGTCCTCCCCTCAGACGCTCCTCTCCACGTGGAGGAGCAGCGGCTCTACTCCGAGCTCCTCACTCTGTCTCTAAAGGCTGAAGTATAGTTCTGCATCATCGACTCAACGCGCTCCGCCGCCGTCGCCTTGTTGTCGTCGTTTTTGATTTATAGATCTGTGTCGAGGTCTGTGCACCGCCAAGTAATTCACTGCCAAAACACCAGGGGGCGACGATATCTGTCCATTCATATAAACGTGTGTCTGTGTGTGTGACCCACAGACGTATAAACTCTGAAAAGTTTAACATGAACCATCACTAACGCGACAAAAGCACAGAACAGATTCAGCATCAGTACAATGTGACTCATGTTCCACTGAGTCACTGTGTCCTTTTTAAGTCCGACAGAAGCTGAACCTCGTACCAGGAGCCAGTTGTTTTATGAGGCTTTGTTTATGTAAGTTAAACATGCAGTTTTAAGTTTCGTTTCTGTAAAACATAAACACATCTGCACAAAGCTGCACTAAACACATTATTTCTCGATATAAACTGAAAGAAAGAAAAGCCGACAGGAAACGTAAACAGACGACCAATCACAGCTCTTATCGTCTGCGGCCTTTTGATGCATAGTTAGAAAATGTCGGTGGTGCACGTCGGTCGACGCAGAGGCTCTGTGTAGGGGACACGTCGACACAAACTCTGTGTCGTGATGCAGACGATGTAAATTGGCCTTAAGGGAGACGCCCGGACGCCCTGCGGAGGAAACTTATTTGTGTCGCTTGTATCGGCGATCTCGTCCTTTCGGTCGTTAGTCCAATGAGGTTCATTTGGTCTTCTGATCTTTTATGTTATTAGGTTCTTTTTTCAGACCAAGAGTTTGTTTTCATATCAGTTTGGACTCTTCCTCAGGATGGTCACGTGATGTTGCTGTGAACTGATGAAAGCTCTGACCACTGTAAAAGAGAGAAGCAGATTCTGGACTGGGACAGAGGAAAACAAACACTGTCACTGGATTAACGAGGCAATCGAAACACGGAAACGTGTCCACGGGGCAATAAACCAGGACGAGGGGCTTTTTTACTCTCACACACCTGGATACTGTCCTGAGGAAGTTGGACTGCAGGTGGCGCTGTCGTCCTGCCTCCACCGACAGCACCAAAACCTGTTTAAATCAACTGACCGGACACATCACAGCAACATCACGAGACTCTGAGGAAGATCGCAGGGAGCAGTCGAAACTCTCAGGTCTGAAAACAAACTCTTGGTCCAAAAAAAAGAACTTTATAATATATGACCCAGAGCTCATGACCGAGACAGAGGTGAGGGGAGGAACGGAGCCTGACTAAATCCAGACTCAGCTCCTCTTCGCCACAACGGTCCGACACAGCGACCGCGTCACTGCCCACGCTGCACCTGTCCACCTGTCCACCTGTCAATCTCCCGCTCCGTCCTCCCCTCGCTCCAGAACGAGGCCCGGCTCCGGGGTCGAGCTCAGAGCTGGAGCCGGCGTCGCACTCGGGTTTGTGGACGAAGCATTTTTCTCTGTTCTGTTCTGTGAGAGTCTGAGGCTTAACTCTGACCGTGCGCCCTCTCCTTCCCTCTCTCCTCCTCCCTCGCTCCCTCGCTCCCTCGCTCCCTCCATCCTCTCTCCTCTGTCGCCGTGGGAACAGGACACTCAGCACTTCTTCCTGCGTCTCTCGTGTTCCGGCTCCGGTGTCATTGTGAAATAAATACAGCCTCATCATTTTATGTTGTGAAAAATAGAGGACGAGGCTCAGGGCAGAGTTTGTGTGTGTCTCTCTGTGTGTGTGTGTGTGTGTGTCTCTGTGTGTGTATGTGTCTGTGTGTGTCTGTGTGTGTCTCTGTGTGTGTGTTTTTGTGTGTGTTTTTGTGTGTTTTTGTGTGTCAGATGAAGAGGGAGCAGTCACATAAGCACAGATCAGTTTCATGGTTCTAGTGGAGAATTTGGAGACGAAGTTCATGTTTCGGTTTGATGGTTTGACAGTTTGACGCAAACAAACCCGTCGCTAAAGACAGAGCGACGGCGTCTGATTGGTCGGTTCTTAATGTTCAGATCTGGATTCAGGAACAAAATGTTGAAATGTCCAAACTCCAGGGTCACGTGGAGCAGGTTCAGACCGACGTGTGAAGGTCAGAGTGAGGATCCTGACAGAGACACAGTTTTACACACAAACTGAACCAGAGCCAGAGTCCATGGAGCCCAATCGCGCTCGTGCTCACTTCCTGTTTGAATGAACCAGCGAGATCTGTCCATTAACATCGAGTGTGTGTGTGTGTGTGTGTTTTTCAGAAAGCGGAAATCGCTGTGGCCCCTCTCACCATCACGCTGGTCCGGGAGGAGGTGATCGACTTCTCGAAGCCCTTCATGTCTCTGGGCATCTCCATCATGATCAAAAAGCCCCAGAAGTCCAAACCGGGCGTCTTCTCCTTCCTGGACCCGCTGGCCTACGAGATCTGGATGTGCATCGTGTTCGCCTACATCGGCGTGAGCGTGGTGCTCTTCCTGGTCAGCCGCTTCAGCCCGTACGAGTGGCACACCGAGGAGCCCGAGGAGGGCACCGACGGTCCGCCCAGCGACCAGCCCCCCAACGAGTTCGGCATCTTCAACTCCCTCTGGTTCTCCCTGGGCGCCTTCATGCAGCAGGGCTGTGACATCTCCCCCAGGTACGGCTGCACCTGACGCACCTGACGCACCTGACGCACCTGTCACACGTGCTCAGACTCACACAGACGTTGTTAAAGGAGCGGTGTGTAGTTCAGTCCTGCTGGTGTAAATCGGTTCTGCAGCCTCAGTAGCTCCTGTAGAAGCTCTGACTCTTTTAGTTTCTGAGTTTCAGATCAGACAGAAACATTTTAGGTTTAAATCAGTCTCTTTTTCCTCTGGTCCTTTTAGGCCTATTCATACTTCATAAGAACAAAAAAACTATCATCTTAAGGCCAATTTACGGTCCAGCGTCAAATCGTCTGCGTCACGACACAGAGTTTGCGTCGACGTGTCCCCTACACAGAGCCTCTGCGACGACCGACGTGCACCACCGACATTTTCTAACTACGCGTCAAAACGCCACAGACGATAAGAGCTGTGATTGGTCGTCTGTTTACATTTCCTGTCGGCTTTTCTTTCTTTCAGTTTATATTGAGTAATAATGTGTTTAGTGCAGCTTTGTACAGAAACGAATCTTAAAACTGCATGTTTAACTTACATAAATAAAGCCTCATAAAACAACTGGCTCCTGGTACGAGGTTCAGCTTCTGTCGGACTTAAAAAGGACACAGTGACTCAGTGGAACATGAGTGTTTCTCTGTGACAGAGTCACATTGTATTTTGTTAGTGATGGTTCATGTTAAACTTTTCAGAGTTTATACGTCTGTGGGTCACACACACAGACACATGTTTATATGAATAGACAGATATCGTCGCCCCCTGGTGTTTTGGCAGTGAATTACTTGGCGGTGCACAGACCTCGACACAGATCCATAAATCAAAAACGATGACGACAAGGCGACGGCGGCGGCGCACGTTGATTCGACGCAGAAATACACCTCAGCCTTTACACTCAGGGCTGGACCGAGAAAATGTCATTTCTTGTGGTTTGTTCTCGACTCTTCAGCTGAGCAGAACTTTGTCCCACAGCTTCACTCTGATTGGTTGTTTATGTGGGCGTGGTTTATCTGCTTCTGTTTCCTTGTCGGGGCAGAGCGAGAAAAATAAAAAAAATTAAAAGTTTTGAGTCACAGCTGGAGGAAATGTTGAGAAAATACAAACATCTGTACGACGAGACGTTTAGTGACGATAAAGAGACAAACGGAAAGAAATTCACGGAGGGAGATCGACAACGTTTTAGGCTCGGATGAAAATCAGTGTAGAAAAGTCTGGAGTCATCTCGGGTCAAAAAAAAAAAAAGAAAAAAAAAGAGCGGTCAGGCTGGAGGACGAAAAGAAATAAAGAAGCGAAAAAGCGCGAGGGGGCGGAGCAGAGCGAGAAGTTCTCACCTCAAGATCAAGAGCAAAGTTATGTCCTTATGAAGTATGAACAGAGCTGCTCGTTTTTCACACGAGGAAACAGAAGAGTCACTGCAGAGTCTGAAACACGAACATTCTTCAGTGATCAGGTACGGAAGCCGAGAGGGGCCACAACAAACGCAAACGCCGCAACAGATACAAATGCGACCACACAACAAAAAGCCACAACACACCAAAAAAGCCACAACACACAAAAAAAAGCCACAACACAAAAAAACACACAAAAAAGCCACAACACACCAAAAAAGCCACAACAACAACAAAAAGCCAACAACACAACAAAAAAGCCACAACACAACAAAAGTCAAAACACAGCAAAAAGCCCACAACCAAAAGCACACAACAAAAACAACAACACAACAAAAAAGCCACAACACAACAAAAAAGCCACAACACAACAAAAACACAACACAACAAAAAAAGCCACAAACAAAGCCACAAACACAACAAAAAAGCCACAACACAACAAAAAAGCCAACAAACACACAAAAAGTCATAACACAGCCAAAAAACAAAGCCACAAACAAAAAAGCCAACAAAACACCACAAACAACAAAAAAGCCAACAACACAACAAAAAAGCCACAACACACACACAAAAAAGCCACACACACAAAAAAGCCACAACACACAAAAAAACACAACAAAAAGCCACAACACACAACAAAAAAGCACACAAAAAAAACAACAACAAAAAGCCACAACACAACAAAAAAAGCCACAACACAACAAAGAAAAGCACAACACAACAAAAAAGCCACAAAAAAACAACACAAAAAAGCACACAAAAAACACAACAAAAAAGCCACACACACAACAAAAAGCCACAACACAACAGAAAAGCCACAACACAACAAACAAGCCACACAAAACACAACAAAAAAGCAACAACAACACAACAAAAAAAGCCACAAGCCACACACACAAAAAAGCCACAAACACACAAAAAGCCACAACACAACAAAAAAGCCACAACACATTAAAAAGCCACAACAGAAGTGACCGCGGGACTGTATTTTCCGACGGACCGATCAAGCGGCAAGTGAAGAAGAAGAAGAACTACAATGTGAAACGAACAAAACAATAAATTACTTTTACTTACGTTTCCAGCTTCTCCGTTCCTTTACTTTTCATGTTGTAGTCCCGCGGTCACTTCCGTTGTGGCTTTTTTTTATGTGTTGTGGCTTTTTTTGGTTTGTTATGGCTTTTTTTTATGTGTTGTGGCTTTTTGTTGTGTCGTCGCATTTGCATTTGTTGCGGCCTTTGCGTTTGTTGTGACCCTCTCGGCTTCCGTAATCAGAGGCATCAAAGCGACACATTTCCATCAGCATCAGGCATTTCGTTCGTCAAACTGTTGTTTTTCAGCACAACACGTAGAATCCAGAACCTCCCCCTGCAGAGCTGTGATTTAAACCGACTGAGAGACTCGTTCAGATTCTGATTGGATAATCAACTTCAGAACCAAAACACAAAACACGACACGTACACGATAAACTGTTTTTTGTGTTGGTAATAGAATAAGTGACTCTTAAACCCCGCACACCTCGTCTTTAATTTCACCGACACGTTTGAAACTTTTAATCTGACTCAAAAGTGACTTGTGTTTTTGTCACTCTTTTGTTTTTGTTTCACTTTCCCCCGGTGACGTCACGAGGAGCGACCGTCGCGTGTGTGTTTGTGCTTAAATAAGAAATAAATAAGAAATAAGAAATAGATTTGTGCTGGAGTAAAGCTGCGTTTAAAGGTCCCGTGTCACACAAACGGAAACGGAAACATCAGAGAACAGAGTGACACGGGTCCTTTAAAGCTCAGTGAACGAGAATCATTTTGTGTGAGAGTTTAGAGCCGACGCTGACGTGTCCTTGTCTTTACACTGCCTGTAGCCTGGCCGACCGGACTCACTCTTCTCCTAACGTTAGTCTGGTTTCTCTCCACTGGAAATGTCTTTTTTTTGCCCAAATGTTGTAGCGGTGAGTTCAGTGCTTCTGCTGTAATAATCCTCCATGTTTCTTAGTCTCTGATTGTTTTCTCCGTTATTTTTATATGTTTGTTTTGATTGGGACAGACTGTGCGAGTCCCTGATTGGCTAATCCACCTGTCAATCACAACGCTCTGAAAACAGGACTGTTTATTATGGTTTATTATGTTCGTGCTCAGAGCCGCAGGAGCCCGTTTAGATCAAAAAGTCTGTGTTGGGATCGAGATCGTGGTTCTTCACATCAGAAGAACTGAGACCAAACGAACCTGGAGCTTTCACACCAAACGGACCAAACTCGCAGGTCTTCTGAACGTTCTGAGTTCAAATGGTGTCCAAAAAGTGTGAATGTTCCCTGAGTGTTCGGGATCCCAGACCCCAGACTCAAGACTCAAGACCCCAGACTCCAGACTCAAGACTCCAGACTCCCCAGACTCCAGACTCCAGACTCAAGACCCCAGACTCCAGACTCCAGAGACCAGACCCCAGAAGACCCAGACCCAGACTCAGACTCCAGACCCCAGAAGACTAGACCCCAGACTCCAGACCCCAGACCCCAGACTCAGACCCAGACTCCAGCCCAGACCCCAGACCCCAGACTCAGACTCCAGACCCAGACCCCAGACCCCAGACTCAGACCCAGACCCAGACTCCAGACCCAGATTCCAGACTCCAGACCCAGAAGACTCCAGACCCAGACCCAGACCTCCAGACCCCAGACCCCAGACTCCAACTCCAGACTCCAGACCCCAGACTCCAGACTCCAGACTCCAGACTCCAGACCCCAGACCCCAGACCCCAGACTCCAGACCCAGACCCCAGACCCAGACTCCAGACTCCAGACCCCAGACCCCAGACTCAAGACCCCAAGACTCCAGACCCAGACTCCAGACAGACCCAGACTCCAGACTCCAGACTCCAGACCCAGACTCCAGACCCCAGACCCCAGACAGACTCCAGACTCAGACCAAGACTCCAGACCAGACTCCAGACCAGACTCCAGACCCCAGACTCCAGACTCCCAGACCCCAGACTCCAAGACTCCAGACCCCAGATCCAGACTCCTCCAGACCCCAGACTCAGACTCAGACCCCACTCCAGACCCTCAGACCCCAGACCCCAGACTCCAGACTCCAGACCCCAGACTCCAGACCTCCAGACCCAGACTCCAGACCAGACCCCAGACTCAGACTCCAGACTCCAGACTCCAGACTCCAGACCCCAGACTCCAGACTCCAAACTCCAGACCCCAGACCCAGACTCCAGACCCAGACCCAGACCCCAGACCCCAACTCCAGACCCCAGACTCCAGACTCCAGACCAGACTCCAGACCCCAGACTCCAGACTCCAGACCCCAGACTCCAGACTCCAGACTCCAGACCCCAGACCAGACTCCAGACTCCAGACCCCAGACTCAGACCCCAGACTCCAGACCAGACTCCAGACCAGACTCCAGACCCCAGACTCCAGACTCCAGACCCCAGACCCCAGACTCCAGACCAGACTCCAGACCCCAGACTCAGACCCAGACCCAGACTCCAGACTCCAGACCCCCAGACTCAGACTCCAGACCCCAGACTCCAGACTCCAGACCCCAGACCCCAGACTCCAGACTCCAGACTCCAGACCCCAGACCCAGACTCCAGGACTCCAGACCCCAGACTCC